GGAAAACTCGCTTAGGATGGTAGAAAGGATTCAGGGACGCTTGGGTGCATTGCGACCTTATCATTTGACCCTTGTGCAGCGTGCCATTGTTGTTAATATCTTACTGTATAGCAAAGTATGGCACGTGGCAGCCGTGTTCCCATTAACTGGGCCAGCAATAACGAACATACTTAGGAAGGTTTTTAAATTCTTGTGGGGTTCGAGCTGTGATTGGATTAAGAGGGATGTGGTAATGTTACCTGTAAGTAAGGGGGGGGCTGGGATTGCTGGACTTAAAGCGGAGGGTCAAATGTGTCTTCATTAAAAGGGAGGTGATGAGGGAAAGTGTGGGTGGGGGGGGTTTGGCCAGGATCCATAACAGATTGCAACGGATGTATACAGGAGTTGAGTTGCATGAGTGTGAAACTGTGTTGAGGGCTCTGGCGTGGGATCGAGAGCCAGCAAAGGTTAAAATAGGTAGGTTGTGTCGATTGTTAGCCGGGAGGGTTGTAGCGCCTGTAGAGGGAATTTTCCCCATGTATGCATGGGGAAGTATATGGAATAGGTTGAGTAGGATGAGGTTGCAACCTCGTGTTCGGGATGTAATGTATCGTTTTCTGCACGGCATTTTACCGCCGGGTGTGGTTCTACGGGATAGACGAGTCGTTGACGGGGGGGGAGTGTGGGATATGTGGTGGGGAGGAGTCGGCTTTTCATGTAGTATATTTTTGTGATGGACTGAGGAGTGTCAAGGGGTGGTTAAATAGGGTGATAAATAGGATAGGAGGTAAAGGAATTTCTGTATTGAGAGCATTAAATCTCGACGTGGGGGGTTGGGAGGAACGTGTAATCAGAGCTGTGGGATACATTATGGCAGATTATATCTATATAGTGTGGGGATTGCGGGGCAAACAGGTTACTGAGGTGAAGAGGAGGGTGTTAGCGTTAACGTTCTATAAAACGGTATGTAGAAATAAGGAAATTTATGGGAGGAGGTGGGTGAAGGATTTTTCAGAGGGATATAGGCAACTTACGTTACAGATTTTATTAGACTTGTAATATACGAGGGAGGGGAGGGTATGATTGGAAAGTGTTGCTGGGGTAGGGAAGTCATGGGTGAAAACAGGGTTGCCTCCCTGGTAATGGATAACAAATGTTTGCGAGAGTGTTGGATGAGTGATGCATGAGTGAATAATATGTGGACCACGGGTGCTGCACCTGTGGAGCTGGCCAGTTTTTGTGTGACTGGACTTTACACTTATTATACATATTGTGTGTGGTAATATTGATTTACGGTAATGACATTGTAATTTGGAGATTTGCTATAATAATTGCATGTATTGCTCCAACTTGTTTTCTAGGTGCCTTGCACTGCATAGTGTTGATGCTGTGATCATGCACGGTGTCCAGAGATATGATGTGATATGTTTGTATTAATGTCTGTGCATTATTGTTCGTCACTGGTGTTCTGCAATTTTCAGTTTTGTTTTGAGAGTAAAGAGGTTAATGCACGTCAGATAGTGTAAATAAAGTTGGGCAACAGTGGTGTTATAGGTTTTTGTGGTTAGGTGCGTGCTAGGCACAGTATTTGTGTTACTTATGTCATGGTTATATTTTATGTTGTATTGTACTGTTGTCAATAGCACTATGTAATGTCCATATAAGCTGTATAGAGCTTGAATGTCATAGTTGAAGCTGTGTTATTGTTTTAACACTGGAATTGCATGTTTAAATGTGTAGAGGCTTACATGTGTTGGATTTTGAGACTAAGTTTATTCTTATGGTTTTGTAGTAATTTTGTATGTCTTTGTGACTTTTCTATAACACCATTGTTGTATAATACATATTGTTATGTAACTGAACCATTAGGACAATTACATAAATTAATGTTTTGATCATTGCTGTGTGACTTTAGATTAGGTAACATTCATTGTTTATAGTGTGTTAGGTTGTAAATAGTGGGGTGGTTGGACAACCACGGGGGGGGGGGTAATATGTCTGTATAATATGTTCAGTGCAATGAATTGCATGGTCTGTAGTCGATTATTAAGTACCATTTCGAGGGATGTGTATAAAAGTGTTGTTCATATCATGTAATTCTGTTGAGTAGCTCCAATAGGTTTGGGTTAAGTGATAGGATGAGGGAGCAGGGAGGGGGGGTGTACCCACACGGAGTTGTAAGTGTGGTGTGTAATATTAGCTGTAGGGAGGATTGTGTTAATTTATAGACTTAATGAGTTTTACATATTATATTTTGTAATATGTTTTAAATAAAATATAAAAAAAAAAAAAAAAAAAAGACTCCCTCCAACCTATGAAAACCCCTTCACTCACTCATATCCAATCACAGATTTACGAGAATCCCTAACGTTAGCATTCTATACCCCTCTGAGAAAGCCTGATCCCACCTCCTCCCATACAAATCTCTGTTACGACACCTCGTACGGTAGAACGTTACCGCAAGAACCTTTCTTCTCTCCTCACTATCCCCTCTCCCCCTCATCACCCACGACATATATATATAATCTACCATGATATAATCTAAAGCTCTTATGACACCCTCGTCTAACCCACCCATATCTAGACTTAGAGCACGCAAAACCGACACCCCACGGCCCCCCACCCTCAGTACCAACCTACTTAACCAGCACCTAACCTCCTCTAGCCCTTCACAAAAGTAAACTACATGGAACGCTGTCTCATCCCCTCCACAGATACCACACCCCCCACCCTCTACAACCTGTCTGTTTCGTAATATCTCACCAGACGGAAGGATCCCATGCAGGGAAAACGAAACATCACCTCACGCGCCCGAGGTTTTAACTTCAATTTACTAAATCTAAACCAAATACTCTTCCACGCATACATGGGGAACAAACCTCAACTGGGACAACGCACCTACCTACAAGTAACCTACACAAAACCCTTATACGAACCTTTCTCAGTTCCCTAACCAACATCACAGCCCTCAAAACTATTTCACATTCCTCAACTCCATTCCTCGATACCACATACCCAGCCTGTCGTGTATCCTTCCCAAACGCCCCGCGTTCACACCCTCACGCAACACTTCCCATTTAATAAACACACATTTAGCCCTCCGTCTCAAATCCAACAACCCCAACCCACCGTGACTTACAGGTAACATTACAACCTCCCTCCGTAACCAATCACAACGTGAACCCCATAAAAATTTGTACACCCGTCTTAGTACCCCCGCAATCGCTGTCCCTGTAATTGGGAACACAGCTGCAACATACCAAACCTTACTATACAATAAAATGTTCACGACTATCACTCGCTGTATCAGAGTTAGGTGCTGGGGTCTCAGAACACCTAGCCGCCCCACGATCCTTTCCAATAACCTATCCGAATTTTCCTCCCGCGCCGCAACCATGTCATCCCTATAAATAATACCACAAATCTTTAAAGACACCGCCCATTCTTTAACAACATTACATCTCCCCCCCACACCCCCCATTGGGGAAGGGATACTGGGAGCTAGACTGACCCTACCGTAAGTAGCCGGCAATGAAACTATCACTTTCGGGGAGGGGGAGAAAAAGGCGGGAATAGTGGGAGCTTGACTTACCCTACCTTAACAAGTAGCCGACAATGAAACTATTGTTAATATATATTCCCTCGCTACTCATATCTATTGAACTTTTCCCTCACCACACACACACAACACACACACACACACACACACCACACACAACCACACATATACACACACACTCACACACAACACACACACCCACACCACACACACACACACCACCACACACACACACACACCACACACACACACCACACACACACACGCGCACACGCGCACGCACACGCGCACGCACACGCGCACACACACACGCACACACACCATATATATATATATTATATATATATATATATATATATATATATATATATATATATATATATATATATACATATATATATATATATATATGTCGTGCCAAATAGGCAAAATTGGTCAATTAACAAGAACTAATATAAAATTAAGTCCTTCCTAAAATTTTCTCTTATACGTTTAAAGATATATATTTTTTCATTTATGTTAATGTAAAACTTCATAATTTTGTACCAAAAGAACCTTAGAAAACTTAACCTTATTATAAACGCAATTTAATTTAGCCTAATCCAGGTAAACATATTTTAGATCAGTTTACAATAATTTAATAATAAACACTCACTCACACCATATCTTCACCATACCACACTTAATTATCACTGATATTACTTATATTCACTTCAGTGTACGAGTTGGCTTACTTGTACTAATGTGTTGTAGGTAGTACTTCGTGACTGAACAGTTTTTATCCTCACCAACCCTCGTATTTAAAAGTAATATTTAGAAAGTTTGTGGAGCACACTGTGACACGTCTTCACCCTCCCTCTCTCTCTCTCCTTTTTTTACTTCGTCTTTTGTTTTTCTTTCTGGTATTATCACTCTCGTCTTATTTCCTTTTTCTTCTATTGTTTTTCTTTGGGTGATCCTCACATACGTCTCTGTAATCGTCAAAAATTTATAAAAAATTAATAATGCCCACTTATCTCAGAAATTTTTTTGCACATATCATCTGAATGCACTTAATCATTTTTCTTGGGAGCTGCGAACTGCAATCCTACACAAGAGTTTTAAAAATATAAGCCAAACACAAGACATCAATGTAAGCATTAGATAAATACACTTTCCGTTGTTTTTGTAATATTTGTTCATTCGAAGATTTCCGTGTGTTTGGTATTTCACACACAAACCATGCTTCTTTTGCGATACCAAAATCTATAAGAGTGGTCTCTAGACCATCAGAGGTTTCCTGGATGCAGACGTTACGACAATGAATGTCCGAGTGAACGACCTTTCTTATGTGGATTCCTAGAACAGTTGTGGCCAGACTGGTTATAATTTCAATCGCTGTTGAAATATGTAATACTTATTAATTAAACCAGTATTTCTCTAGTCTGATACCTGCATAAGCAGTAACTAAATCGCCACACTCCACATTAACTCCCAACAACTACTAAACACCGGTAATTCCTTGTACATTTTGTAGTTACGTCACTTCATTACAAAATTCTCCATAGAACAATGCAGATTTTATTCTCTTCACTACTAATTATTACTCGCCGTCAACCACCAGCCAACATTTTCCAACCCTTCCTTCTCCTATAACGTATGTAGACTCACTCTTCAACCATTCATGAATTTTTTCGCGAGGAAATATTTTTATATTATGTAATTAACAAAATTCCTCTAGTTATTTGATCAGTATATGGGGAGTTTGACTAGCATTGTCCTGATATTTTATTTGATTTTCTTCTTACGTGTTATCCTTTATCTCAACTACTTTTAACCTTTTGTCCCTATCCTACTCATCGTTATCACCTTCATAATTATTCTCTCCATCATCTTCTCTTCGCTTTTTACTCACTTTTGTACTAGTGTTCGCCTCAGTCTCCTCTTCTTCTTCTTGTCTCTTTCTTTTATTCAATGTTTTCATGTGATAATTACTCTCTTCATCATCTTCTCTTCGCTTTATACTCACTTTTGTACTAGTGCTGACCTCAGTCTCCTCTTCTTCTTCTTCTCTCTTTCTTTTATTCAATGTTTTCAGGTGATAATTACTTTCATCATCTTCTCTTCGCTTTTTACTCACTTTTGTACTAGTGCTGGCCTCAGTCTCCTCTTCTTCTCTCTTACTTTTATTCATTGTTTTCAGGTGATAATTACTCTCTCCATCATCTTCTCTTCGCTTTTTACTCACTTTTGTACTAGTGTTCGCCTCAGTCTCCTCTTCTTCTTGTCTCTTTCTTTTATTCAATGTTTTCAGGTGATAATTACTCTCTTCATAATCTTCTCTTCGCTTTTTACTCACTTTTGTACTAGTGCTGGCCTCAGTCTCCTCTTCTTCTTGTCTCTTTCTTTTATTCAATGTTTTCAGGTGATAATTACTCTCTTCATAATCTTCTCTTCGCTTTTTACTCACTTTTGTACTAGTGCTGGCCTCAGTCTCCTCTTCTTCTTCTTCTCTCTTTCTTTTAGTGTTTTTCGTGGGACGATCCTCCCATTTCTGGTTTAATGATGTTTTATTTTCTACTTCATCTTCTGTTATTTATGATTGTTAGGAATCATCACTAAAGTTAACTTTTTCCATGATATTTGTTTTGTTATGTTTCACAGTTAACAATGATAACATTGGTGCTCATCTGTGACATTAACTTCTATATAACATTGCTTATATATAGTGAAGTCAGAATTTATGTGATACCATCAACACCATAGTGTTAGTGGAAGTATACTAATGGTGTTAGTAGTAATAATGGAGTTAGTAATAACCATGAAGACCATAGTGTTGGTGGAAGTATGGTAATGGTGTTAGTAGTAGTATAGGTATTAGTAGTAGTAATTGTGTGAGTTGTTGTAATAATGGGAACCTACTTTCCCATAAACGATACAAAATGTATTATTGCTTTTCTGATTATTGATATTCCATATCTAATTGCTGTTAAATGTCGGCCAACACATTTTTAATATATGCATATTAATGAGAGTGAGAGAGTAATGAGGGGAGGGAAGTAGTACTACGTAAGTTATGGTTGTGAGTGGTACTTTGCTGACCAACTGAACGTGGGAAGTATATAAGCAGTAGACAACCACATCCCAGTATTGCACACTGGTGCCACAAGTTGCAGACACACAACCCATCTCCCTGCCATGCCAGCCAGTCTTCCGTGCCATCATCATGCTGTCACTGGCACTTTATCAGGAGCAATACAGTGATTTAAGCTTTACAAATGTGGTAAATTCCAAATGGTTTGTGTAATAACTTACGTAAATTATGCATCTACGTGACGATACTTAATAATAATACTCGAAAATACTCTCATGTTCTATATATATATATATATATATATATATATATATATATATATATATATATATAATGTATATGTGTGTGTGCGTGTGTGTGTGTGCGCGCGCGTGTGTGTGTGTGTGTGTGTGTGTGTGTGTGTGTGTGTGTGTGTGTGTGTGTGTGTGTGTGTGTGTGTGTGTGTGTGTGTGTGTGTGTGTGTGGTGCCGAATAAGTAAAACTGATCAATTAGCAAGAACTCATTTAAAATTAAGTCCTTTCTAAAAATTTCTTTTATACATTTAAAGATATATTTTTTCATTGATGTTAATGTAAAAATCTTTAATTTTGCATCAAAAGAATCTTAGAAAACTTACCTAACCTTATTCTAACAAGCGCAATTTATTTTAGCCTAATCCTACTAAATATATTTTAAAAACGTTTACAGTAATTTAATACTAAACAAACACAACGAAATATATTTTTTTCGCTAGGTTTAGAATGATTTTGGCGAAATTATTGCATACACAAATTTTCGCTTGTCTTATATGGCAAGATGAGCGTTGCTATTTAAGCCAAGATGGCAAGTTCTGCCTATTCGGCACGACATATATATATATATATATATTTTTTTTTATATATATATATATAATATATATATTATATATTTATATATATATATATATATATATATATATTCAATAACGACACTGCGCTAGCCAAGGATTTGAACCCATGTTGTACTGGCCTACCTCATGGTAAGCGAGACCCACATAACGCTTTAAACCACAGGACCACCCAACCCTACAAGAATGGCGCAGCCAGCACACAGCTAGCTGTGGGCCGCCATCTGAGGGCATACGGAGGTGTGGGAGCTTCTAAGCTAATTTCATTCTCATCCCTGTTTGTTGTACTAGCTTCACGAGCAGTATTTATATATTATTGTAACCACGAACGAGAGGTATTGATCAATAACAACACTGCGCTAGCCATGGATTCGAACCCATGTTGTACTGGCCTGCCTCATGGTTTAAAGCGTCATGTGGTTCTCGCTTACAATGAGGCAGGCCAGTACAACTCCCAGTAGTATCAGTTCCCAGTAGTACCAGTTACCAGTAACCAGTTACCAGTAGTATGACTACCAACCGTCTGTGTGAATCACATGTTGCTCACTGTTCAGCTGACCTTGCATGTTTTGAATGCCGCTTCCCTCCGCGGCACCCAGCGAGCCAGTTCAAGTACAAGCGTTAGAGAGGCGGCAGGTTCAAGGCTTGGTGCTCCCCCTATATTCCATACAATATACTAAAAACATCCAACGTGAGTGTTATTACCCAATTCACATTATCGAACCCCCATGACACAACATGGGTTCGAATCCTTGGCTAGCGCAGTGTTGTTATTGATCAATACCACTCGTTCGTGGTTACAATAATATATAAATAATGCTAATGAGGCTAGCAGCCTGCAGATTGAGCAGCCTGCAGGTTGAGCAGCCTGCAGGTTGAGCAGCCTGCAGAAGAGGGGGCGTCATGAAGCTTCTCTGTTTACAAATATTTATGTTCTCTTACCCACTAGTTGCAGTGTGGTAGCGAGGTAATGTGAGTACTGGGTGAAGGTGAACTAGAATGTGATGTTAGTTGTAGTACACTACATTGTACATTGTATATACTACTTCACTTTTAACATATATTTATATTTTTGTATAGGTGAATTTCTGTGTTCTTTCTCATAATACATTGACCACTTAAATTTATGCTTCATAATTTGTATGAATGTTTAACCTGGCTCTAAAGTGGCTGCTTTTTCTATTTTAAAAAACATAAATGCCCTTAGACAGGCAGGTTATTTACACTTTAAGAGCCACGACTTTTATTTACGTTAGGCAGTCAAAAAAGCATAACAATGCCACAAAAGGGACCCAGAGCTGGAACGTTATAAAACACGTTAAGACACTTATTCTGAATATGTTGCAAGTATTTTCAGTGATACCTACCTACCTATTTTATTTCGCAGACATTACTACAATTGTTGTCTAGCATCCCATGTTTCCTGGTAATCCTGCAGTAATTGCAAGAGTAGATGTTAATTCCCTCTAGCGTAGAGTCATGGAGAGAAGCACTCACGCTCTCGGGAGATTCCTCTGTAAAAACTTGGATTTGTGGTCACTAATTGGTGGCCTATGCTAACATTCCTATCGTGTAGAAATATACCTAGTTGGATGAATCTTATTGTAGCCAGCTGGCCCAGTGGCTAGGGCGTCGGTCTAGAGTTTTATGTCTCTCTGATCGCGGGCTCTAACCCCGTCCGTGGTATGTTTTGTTTGCAATCGTGTAATTACGATTCCGTGAGTCACTCAACTGAGTGATTGTAGGCATTTTCATCATTTAAGAAAAGATGGTATATATATTATAATGAATAAACAAGGTGATTACATTATAATGTATATAATTTCAGTGTTATTTTATGATAGCTGGAAGAGTGGTTATGAAAGTAGTTATTATTACGTTAACGTTAAGAGTAATTATGGGAACTGGTTATACAGTTATGAAGGAAATTATGTTGAATGTTATATATCTTAAGTAGTGAACATGTTTATGATGTAGTGCAGTGAAGATGTTTATGTAGTGAAGATGTTTATGATGCAGTGTAGTGAAGATGTTTATGATATAGTGTAGTGAAGATGTTTATGATGCAGTGTAGTGAAGATGTTTATGATATAGTGTAGTGAAGATGTTTATGATGCAGTGTAGTGAAGATATTTATGATGTAGTGTAGTGAAGATGTTTATGATGTAGTGTAGTGAAGATGTTTATGATGCAGTGTAGTGAAGATGTTTATGATGTAGTGTAGTGAAGATGTTTATGATGCAGTGTAGTGAAGATGTTTATGATGTAGTGTAGTGAAGATGTTTATGATGTAGTGTAGTGAAGATGTTTATGATGTAGTGTAGTGAAGATGTTTATGATGCAGTGTAGTGAAGATGTTTATGATATAGTGTAGTGAAGATATTTATGATGTAGTGTAGTGAAGATGTTTATGATGTAGTGTAGTGAAGATGTTTATGATGCAGTGTAGTGAAGATGTTTATGATGTAGTGTAGTGAAGATGTTTATGATGCAGTGTAGTGAAGATGTTTATGATGTAGTGTAGTGAAGATGTTTATGATGTAGTGTAGTGAAGATGTTTATGATGCAGTGTAGTGAAGATGTTTATAATATAGTGTAGTGAAGATGTTTATGATGCAGTGTAGTGAAGATGTTTATGATGTAGTGTAGTGAAGATGTTTATGATGCAGTGTAGTGAAGATGTTTATGATGTAGTGTAGTGAAGATGTTTATGATGTAGTGTAGTGAAGATGTTTATGATGCAGTGTAGTGAAGATGTTTATGATATAGTGTAGTGAAGATGTTTATGATGCAGTGTAGTGAAGATGTTTATGATATAGTGTAGTGAAGATGTTTATGATGTAGTGTAGTGAAGATGTTTATGATGCAGTGTAGTGAAGATGTTTACGATGTAGTGTAGTGAAGATGTTTATGATGCAGTGTAGTGAAGATGTTTATGATGTAGTGTACTGAAGATGTTTATGATGTAGTGTAGTGAAGATGTTTATGATGTAGTGTAGTGAAGATGTTTATGATGCAGTGTAGTGAAGATGTTTATAATATAGTGTAGTGAAGATGTTTATGATGCAGTGTAGTGAAGATGTTTACGATGTAGTGTAGTGAAGATGTTTATGATGCAGTGTAGTGAAGATGTTTATGATGTAGTGTACTGAAGATGTTTATGATGTAGTGTAGTGAAGATGTTTATGATGTAGTGTAGTGAAGATGTGTGATGTCACAATGGTTGTTTAATATATTTATAGATGGGGTTGTAAGAGAAGTAAATGCGAGGGTCTTTGCAAGAGGTGTGGAGTTAAAAGATAAAGAATCACACATAAAGTGGGAGTTGTCTCAGTTGCTCTTTGCTGATGACACTGTTCTCTTGGGAGATTCTGAAGAGAAGTCGCAGAGGTTGGTGGATGAATTTGGTAGGGTGTGCAAAAGAAGAAAATTAAAAGTGAATACAGGAAAGAGTAAGGTTATGAGGATAACAAAAAGATTAGGTGATGAAAGATTGGATATCAGGTTGGAGGGAGAGAGTATGGAGGAGGTGAATGTATTCCGATATTTGGGAGTGGACGTGTCAGCGGATGGGTCTATGAAAGATGAGGTGAATCATAGAATTGATGAGGGGAAAAGGGTGAGCGGTG